CAAAGTAAAAAGTTAGATTGACCTTAAACATTAGACCTAATAAATGTTTAAAGAAGACATACCTGGACACGTGCATTTCCACAGTCCACAATAAAGAGTTGACCCTGTGGTGTGGCATGAATACCGCTTGGCAGGGTGAGGTCAGCTCGACCTGAACCCTGCTTTCCAAACTGCCCAATGAGGTGGACATCTCTGGGGTTGAAAACTATATGGGATGGATCAATCTCCTCGTCTAACTCCTGCAGAACCAGCTCTTCTCTTTCTCCTCTACTTCTGTTTAGCTCTTGAGAGGAACCATCTATTTCAGACATGGATAATGATCTAGCCACAAAGGGTTGCTTGATTCCAGATACTGTGGCCTTTTTCTGTTGCAAATTGTCATGACATATGTTCGTAGGGTATGAGAAGGTCTGGCCCCTGTCATGGACCCTAAAGCTCCTACTAAGACAAGGAGTCTCTGAAGGAGTCCTCGGCAAAGAACTGAAGTTACCATTTCTGACCCTACATAATTCTTGTTTATTTGTCCCACTGTTGATCAAAGGTCTTGATTCGTGTGTTAGGTCTACTGCAGACTTGGAAAGGCGAAAACTGTGGTTCAAAGAGGCCCGGTTCAAGCTGTAGTCATGAGATGGGCTAACAATAAAGGTATAGCTGGAATCGAGGCTGTCTGTTGGAGATAAAGCACGACCAGAATCGCCTAGTGTTCCCAGAGAGTGTTCATCTGAAGACTGGCTTAGGCAAGAGAGAGGCCGGCCCTTGGAGGTAAGGTCAAGGCAGCTTTGACTGACCAAAGAGTGTCTTGGAGTCATACTGGGAGATGTTAGTGCACTGTTGCCATATCTCAAAAGTCTTTTATTTGGTTGTGGACTGACTTTTAATCTATCCCCATCTTGGGTATTGTGTCTCAAGAAATGACTTATTTTAGCAGAATCTGGCCTTCGTTCCGGTGATGGAGAAGACATTCTGCTGGAGGCCACAGATAGCTTTTTCTTCCAATTCCTCGGAGAGAACTGATTTCCATACATCTTCATTTTGTATAGTTCACCTTTACTTTTAGAATCCATGTTTTTGAGAACTGACGGGACAGCCAGATACATGTCCTCCTTATATTGCTGAATAGAACTTGATTCCAACTCATCTTGGAATGACTCCCAGTCAGACTGTTCACATTTAGGAAGCCAATGACATATTTTTGCAGTGGAAAGCTTCTGTTCTTCTGCCGCTTCCCGTTCGATTCGATTTGAGAGGCTGCTCATTGTCACAGCCTTGCCTGTTGGTGAGCTTCTACCCTGTCCTTGAGACCTTTCTTCTTTTCTAAAGCTTTGATGATTGATTTCACACTCCATCTTCTTTGAATGAAGAGCACACGGCTTTCCATGTGGACCACAACCTCCGACATTCAGGCACAGGTTTTGGTCTTGCACATGCATGTCTCCAAAAGTGACAGCATTGGGTTGGGAGCTTGGTTTGTAGTTCACTTTCTTCAGAGAAATTGCGATTTCCCAAGGTTGTAAGAATTCAGCTACTTCCTTTAATAAGAGGTTCTTTGATCCATTTTCATTTAGGTCAGATCGACTGATTTCCCTAATTTGCTGCTGAAGCTGAGCTAATTTGCATAACTTTTGGTCCAGTAAAGTCTGGCCGACCCGTGCTGCTGCCATGTTCTCCTTCTGAATTTGCTCCAGGCGTTGCTGGGTGTCACGATGGTCCTGCTCTACCCTTTCAAGCAGACGTCGCTCCTCTCTGCGTGCTCCCAGGATTGCCCTCTCCACTCCTCGCTTAACGCTTTCAATCTCAGTTGTGTGACGCTCCTGCATGCGGCACAGTTCTTCTTTAGCCTGGGCAAGGTCACGCTCTGCCTGTGCTGCCCAGCAGAGAGGGGACTGACGTGGTGAAGAACCATTAGACTGACCATCTTGATTTGGGCTACTGGCTGGGGTAGGAGAAGTTGGACTGCTACTCAAAGGAGTGATCAAATGCATCATGAATGAGTCTTTTCTTCTCTAGCCTCAGTTTCTGTTGAAAGACAAGATCTTTAAAAGGGTCATGTTGAGATAAAAAATGATTTTATGAACTAAATAAATACCCGCTAAAGCATAAAAGGAGGACACATTAGAGTTTTGACTTTTGAGCCAACGAAAGCAACATTGACAGACTGTTTTTTTATTCCTAGTATTTGTACCTGAAAATGGGATCTTTGGTTTGTAATGGTTTTGTTTTGAATCTTCTAGCTCTAACAAAAGAGAATTGTTATTCTGGAAGAGAACCAACTCGTTTACTTCCAATAACATTGATGAGTTTTTACAGTGTATGACTAACAGAAAACCTGAATCTTGCAAAACAGTGATCTCTAATTAAACTTGGCATGTGACTTGTGACCATGGGAACAGTTGCAAACTTCATAAAAATAAAGCAGTTAAGAGATGCTGTGTTAGAGAGGTCAACTCATGAAGATGGTTTAAGCGTGAGATTATTTTTATAAGCCGATGAAAAAAAAAATCAGGCACCTGTGTGGACAACTGCTGCCACTACTAAACTGAGGAAAGGTCCCGAAAGACCCCAACGGTTTTTAAAATGTTTTGAGTTTGTTTTATATTTGATGTTCAACAAATATTAAGAGATTTATTGACTTAATTTATATTGCACACAGTGAGTGTCCAGTTGTCTTTCACAATCAATGTGCTGCTAAAACATATTGGCCTTAATAGTCGGCTTTAGTTATCACCATCGGCAACAAAATTCTTTTAAAATCTATGCATCAGCCTTAAATAAATACCCATAACAGTCAGCCGCTAACATTACTGACAAAAATATTTTTGAACATTATGTCCCTTTTTATGTCTTGTTGTGTAGGAAACTCAATTAGCTTCAATGATTTAAAAACAAGTGGGAACATGTTACCATCATGTCTCATTTCTGATGCAACTATTTGAGTAGACAATAAAATATTAATTGTTCTGAGGCTGTCTCAGACCTCAGGTTAATTTTGAGAGGTTTGAGATTTATGTTAATTTTGGTTTATTTGTTATTACTTACAGCTGCAAGGCTTTTGCAGTGGTCGTTGCCTTTGGACTAGCTCAGTATTTCTTCAAAGTGAATATAGGGGTATTTGTGCATCAGTTGGCTGATGGTATAAGGTACCCACCACATTAATAATTAAATACTTTGAAAGTAGCGATTTTCCCTCTTTAGAGTTCAGAAAACTCTTAACAGGGCTAATTTAAATTAGAGTACCAAAACTCCACTTTGATGTACTGTTTCCATTTCTACTGAAGGGTTTTCTATCACCAGCATAAACGAGCTGTTTTTGTGCTCTAGAGTAACCGGTGGAAGTGAGGCACTGGGTCAGTCCTAGCTGTGTGTTTACAGTCTCTGCTCAAATTACACAACTACATTATACATGATGGAGGTCCAGTTGTACTGAAACTCTAATTTCCCTCTGGGATTAATAAAGTATTAGTGAATTGAATTGAAATGCTCATCTATTGACCTACATTTGGAGAAGTCAAACAACAAAAACAATCACAAAAAAAGAAAACTGTTAAATGTAAAATAATCTTCAGATTTAATCACATCTCAGTGTATTTAAGCAGCATTGTAAATTAATGATCATTTGAACTTTTTCATACAAAACAATAAAAAACAATTTATTCTGTTTGTTGTATGCTCTGGTCAGGGAAATATTTTCTAATTAATTAAAATCCAATATAACCCTCCATTTTTGTCTTACCTGCGGTCCGACAGCAGCACGAATGACACCTAGCTCTCCTCTCCTTCACTTTTACCCCCGGCACCTCCCTCACAATGATGTTTCCCTTCCTGTTGCCTGTTGCTAGGACACCGGGCTGTTTCCTGTGTGAAAACTTTGAACTTGTGCAGTCACACTTGACATTTGACTCCTTTTTTAATCACATGTATCTTTCATGGTGGAGATGAACTTTAAAAATCTCCTCCAAACATAATGTTTAGAGTCGATTTCTGAGCCAGTGTTTCTGATCTCGGTCTCAGATTAAACTACTGAAAAATTAAACTTTTTCAGAATTATTTATATGAAAACACAAAAGGTTTAACATCTACTCATGTACATTGAACTGACTTTTCTCTCAAATATTGTTTATGGGTATCTACTTTTAATAGTATTTGCTGTATTTTTTTTAAGTTGTAAATTAACTAAATGAGGACTTAAAGCTAATTAATTTTTAGGTTTTAATTAGGGATGGACAATATATCGGCATCGATATCGGTATCAGCAGATGTTAGTCATTTTTTTACATATCGGTATCGGTACGATAAATAAAACTGGGCCGATGTTAACAACTGATGTTTATCTGTTTCTGAGGGTGAGGGGGGTGATGTGTATTTGTTTAGTCATGTGACAGTGATTGTAATCATCTCAGAACTGTAAATGTGTGTGGTGTGTGTACATAATGCAAATTTAGCTTTAGTAGTTTTCATTCCATACAAAATCTGCTGATTTTAGAAGCAATAATGTCAGTATATCAGTATCAGCAACTATCGGTTATCGGCCATAACAGTGACCTTAATATCAGTATCGGCCCAAAAAATTTCATATCGGTGCATCACTAGTTTTAATGACTTGTATGATTTGCATGTGTGCCCTAAATACCTTCAACATATAAATTTCTGAAGGGTTATTTTGTCTAAACAATTATTGCACACTTTCTGTAAATCACTGTGTCTCCTAAATGATAAATTGAACAGAAATGTTTTATCGTAACAACCAATGATTTATACAAGAAATTCATGATTAACAAAGCTGCCAAACGTTCGCATCCCATTGTAAATAGTTCAAATCTTCATATTTAAAGTCAAATAAAACCTTAAGACAAGGAGAAAAAGTCTATATTTTACTATAAAAAACATGCTTTGCTGTGATTGGCCAGTTTCTGCAACTTGTACAGAGCCCCTCCCTGTTTCGCATCAGATCTACAAAAACCTGTAAATTATTCAGTTATTCGTTCACATAGGAAGTATTTCTGTTTGAATGTAAGGATCATTCATTTATTTCAAAAGCAGCAAAAATAATGACACAAACACCAAGATAATACTGCTAAGCAAATAATTTATAAATTAATAAAAACATTCCCTTTGCAGTGTTCTTCTGACAGCTTTCCCGTTTTGTATTTTTGTTTATTTTCATGTGATGATTTCAAAATATAGAAAAATATTTACAACATTCATTTTTACATCATTTGAAAAAATGATTCATTCTTTTCTCATTGATTATCCCCCACACACAGTTCTGCATTGCAACCCACTGATCCCTTTCTACTGTTACAGAATTTCCATGATAAAGTCAATCATCATTCAGCTTCAATGCAGGAACACCAGAGTGTGCTGTTGCATAGATTACACAGGAGAAATGTGAGGTGAAAAAATTATATGGAAACATCCCAAAATGAGCATCACAAGTCAACACATGGAACATCCAACATGGCACATGAACTCACTCTAAAAGGAAGACGTGAGATTTTTACAGAAATCGTTAAGCTGCTAAAGCAAATTTGGAAAACAAATTAGCTTAACATATTTTTATGGCCCTTAACAACATTCTGACATAGTATAGCTATGAATTTATTTTGGAGTTAAAAAAAGAAGATGAAATTAATTAAGAAAGTGGCTCTCTTGCATTTGTTCAAGAACCTCCACCAATAACATGTTTTCTGACCAGAAAAAACTAATCAACCATCTGGCCAAACTTCCAAACTTCCCTGGGTCACTAAATACGCACTCATGTCCTTACCACTGGTGTGAGTAATTCTCCGCTCAACAATATCAGAGAAGGAGAAACAGCCGGCTGCTACCACTTCAATTTTAGGACACACCACCAGAGTCCCAAAAAGAAAACACCATCTGAAGTCACGGACACTAAACAAAGTTTGGACCTAGAAACAGTGACTGGTGTTTAAGACTATCTCGTTTCCTCTGGCAATGCGGGTTTGCTGGTTTCCGATTCTGAGGGACGCAGATTCAGGGGAGACACCCTGGGGAGAGGTGAGTGTTCTGTCACCATGTGTGTGTTAAAAAGCTAGCTTGTTTTCAAATTTGCAAAAGCAGCTTTAACCATGTTTACCTGCCAGGTGAGGAACAAGATGCTTTTGGATGCATGAAGGGTGAAGTTTAGCTATGATGATCAAATAAACTGCCATTTTTTTAAAGACATAACATCACATCTGCTGTAGTGTTAAACAAAGTGACATTAAAGTTAGCTTTAATCAACTGTTTTCTGTCAGTCAAGGTTAGAAAAATGTATTTCTTTAATTAACATGGCAAATTTAAACATTATGGTCAAAAAGAGAAATACCTAATTTTACCTAAATAAAATCCCAATGTAACTTTTATAATTAACCACGGTAGTTATGTGATTGGGAGTGTTTATAAACCAAAACAACATTAAATGATTTAATAAGACTTAACGCTCTGATCAGACGCTTAACAATGTTTAGTAGAAGTGGGTCAAAGCAGAAATCACACGGAGCTGTGACTGTTGGAAACAAAGCTGTCTTCAGTAAATATCAATGTATTTGTAAGTAGGTGGAAATAAGCATTTCCAAAGCCGTCGCACATTTCTCGCACTTTTTGACTCAATGAAACAAACCAGAGAAAAAAATGTTCTCAAACAAACCTTTATTTATTTTCTTAGTGTTTTTTTAACATGTTAAAAATGCATGGAACTCAAAAACTGTCCTGTCCCATAAACGTTTTGGAAAATCTCTTGTAAATGCAATTGCCAACAGTCGCAGCTCGGTGAGAACATTCTTTACAATAAATTCCCTCATGAAACGTCTTTTTATAAGCGTCACCATTCTTTATGTTAGTAGAAGTAAATTATAAGAAACAATGGGCTGAAGTGGATACAAAATGGTTTAGTTTTAGAGCCTCAACTCCAAAATTGGCACTTCAAAAAAACTCCTAAGTGATAGCTGATTTTTATTACAGTGTGTTGATTATGTGACATTTTTTTTCTTTATGTGGATGAACGGTGGTTTCAGGTCTTTGGTGTTCAAAAGAAAACCTGATCAGAATGTCACACTTTGCTTTTAAGCAACAAAAAACATAAATAAAATCAAGTAAATTGAGCAGAAACTCTGTGGAAGCTGGGCAGTAGGAGAATAGAGGATGGGCGGATGGCAGTGGGTAAACCTCAGTTGTGAATCTGCAAATATCTAAGCGTGGAGCGTCTGTTTCTTCTATTTCTGCTTTACTAAAACCTACATTGTTGTTTACAACATGATTTATTTCATACATGACCTAAACTGGCATGCACAAAACCTTTTACATATCACAGTTTAAAAAACTATAGTTGCTTTTGAAATGAGCCTAGAAATTCAATAGAAAAGTTATGTAATGAAATACCAGAAATACAAACATGATGGCTTTGACAAGCTGCAAAAACCTCTTTCAGGTAAAGGTCAAAATGTCAAGAAACACCGCAGGGTTCAGAGAAAAGACTAATGAATGTCGGGCAGTTTCTCTGCTGCAGAGATGAGAGGGAGGAAAAAAGAGACCGTGCAAACAAATTAGTTTTAGATAAAAGCCAACACAAAACAAGACACTAAGGGCTCTTGGTTTTGTTAAAATTCTCTCAGACTCCTGATGAATTAGTTGAAAATAGTACAAAGTATTTGAGAAATAACTTATTTTTCTAAACAAAAAGAACATTTTGTCCTGGCAGAAGCTTTTAACACTGACAAGCATCAACTTCAATCTCAGGGTAATAACTTAAATGCCGATCACAACTGCATTTCAACGTCCTCACATCCGTACCTAAAATAAAACCAACAATAGCTAAAATCATGTTAAGTGTTACAAAATAAAACTTATAGCAGCATGTTAATGTTCAAAATGAAACTTGATCGTTCTGGCTTGTCCTCAAAACAATAAAAAAAAAATGAAGATGGCTTTTAAAAACATTCAACTTTAGTCCCAAAAAAAATTCAAAATCTAAAAATAAAAAAGCAAAATGCCTCCGGGGATTTGTTTTCAACATATTTGAAGGTGCATGATGTAAGAATGACATCCTGTGGTCAAATTTGGGTACTACAGTTTATGTATCAAAACAAACCCCAAGTCCCCTCTGAACAACCATTGCCAGCTATGACTCAGCGCCAGAAGATTCTAGATGACGAGTGCAAACGAGTCATAAACAGTAATTTGATAAGTAGATAAATACATTTCACTGTAATAATGAGTTGTTGGTAAATAAAAAAAGTATTTGAGATATTTTTAGAGATGACTATTTGTTTATTATTCACGGTTAGCATTGTTAGCTCAATGTTAGCTTAATTTTAGCTCAATCTTAGCTCAATATCAGCCTCTCGCTCTCTTTCCCTGATATTAGAGTAAAACATAAAGATGCTGTAGCTTCTTAGGGGTACAAGAGATAACTTCTGGGTCGCTCTTTTTACTGCGCTTTTCCAGGCGGTGTCAAATAACAAATGCCGGCACAGTGTTTGTGTAGAAGACTTGGCAATTTTATAAGCTCATATGATTGGCTCTGAGAACCAGGAAGTATGACAGATTGTAAACAAAGACTATGTCCCTCTTCGGCCTTTTTAAAAGGAGATAAACTGCCACTCACCCCCTCCCCCCAGCCGGCTGAGAAGAAAACCTATGTCAATGTAACCTTCCTTCCAACGTGATTCAGACAATAGGCTGTTTTGTGATTTTTTCACTGTAAAATTCTTATTTATTGCACCTTCAAAGTAAAATACGCACGTTTCTTCTTAAAAAAAAGAATACTTTTAAAAAGACTAATTGGCACACAAAAAGAATATTTTTTACAGTGCTGCCTTTTTAAATCTCAGGCTTTTTTATGGCAACAGGTCACCGGCTCCCTAATAGACCAAAGAACTGTCATCACTCTTTAAAAAGGAGTGATTCATGAACATAATATTCAGAACACTACAGTCCTACGCCCTAATGCTGCTGATATGTAATTAAATGGTGCAAAATCAAAAAGCCAACATCACAAAAATGACATCTTCCAACTTTTCCTAGTACATTTAAAACACTCCTCTTGTTCCAGTTTTCATCTAAAATCCATCAGCTTTTTTCATCTTTCTGCAATGGCCGGTCCTAAGTGGAAGATGAATAACAAAATGTTTTATCCTGCAAAACTGGATTTGGCGTTTATGTTTATTTCAGTTGAGGAAGCAAATTTCTTGTCTGTGCACCCTTTCAAAATAAAAGATAAAAAGTATCAGCTAGCACCAGTATGTGCACCTACTTCTGTTATCTGTGGCTTTACTGTCACATTATACCATGACGTAGTAGTGTGTGTGTGTGTGTGTGTGTGTGTGTGTGTGTGTGTGTGTGTGTGTGTGTGTGTGTGTGCGCGTGTGTGTGTGTGTGTGTGTGTGTGTGTGCGCGCGCGTGTGTGTACAAGCTCCACAAAGTGTCTACTGAGACTCTCTGTGTACAGAATGTAAATATAATACATGATATGCACAATATCTTCACTTTTACAGATGAGGAAAAATCTTCCAGTCCCTTTATTTGTCTTATATTAATTTTGGTTTTTTTAAAAGATTAAAGTCTCAGTGCTCCAGTCTGGTTAAGAAAGACTTAAACGTTTGAGGGGTCTGTGTTTACCGTCTACTCTTCAGCCTCTTGGTTCTGAGGGAAGGGCAAAGTGACAGCGTGCTCTTGAGCCAGGGCAGCCAACTCTTTGAGGAACTCGCAGAAGATAACGGCAGAGTAGACAGCGTTCTTCACACGCAGCGCCTCCGCTTGTTTCTCCAGGCTGGAAGTGCCGGCGCTGCCACCTCGGAACAGAGCGCTGTGCAGTGATTGGCCGCCATCCCGGACGTGTGCGAATGCTAGCTGAGCTGCGTGTCGAGCCCGAGTGGGACTGTTGGTGTGGCGAAGGATCAAGTCTCCAAGGGATGGCTTACGGCTTTTTACTGGAAGGTAGAAGGATGGAGCAAACAGACCAAAGATGTGGAGTTACAAATGAATACAAACAAATGAACAGAAGAATTTATGTGTCGTTCATTCTTTCCAATTTCAATTGAAAAGCAAAAACCATAAGAGGAAAAACTTAAGTTTTCTTGTTATTTGTTTTTGAATCTGACAAAAAAAATTGTTTTGTTTTTCATTTTTCTACTTTATTATCAGATATAAACTCAAATTTTAAATGCAGGGCCAAATTAGATTGTACTATTTCATTGGTGGAGTTTACGTAGACATGCCAGGTGTATTTTTGTCTCCAGCAGACAGAAGTTTATGGTAAAGAGCAACAATCAGAGCTAATAGTGTTTTTACGGGACATCTGGACAAACACAGATCTATATCACCTCTATCAGTGCGCCCCAAGGCAGCTGTGGCTACATTGTAGCTCATCACCATCAGTGTGTGTGAATTGATGAATGATACACTGTAGTGTAGGGCTGGGCAATAAATCAAAAATGTATCATTTTCAAAATTTCTGACAATTATCGAGAATTTTTCCCACGTCAATAAATTTGATAATAAAAAAATGAAAAGATGTGTGTAGGTTGGCAACGTTCGTGTCCCTTTAAGAAGCTGTACCACCTTGAGTCACGTAAATATGTGAATCAACGTAATACATGTGACAGTCCCATCTAGTGGACAACAGGGAAGCATGAGAGCAGTTTACTCTAAGTCATTTAATTTTTGAACACAATAACCCCGGCTTTCCACAGGAGCCGTCAGCAGCACGTTACTGCAGCACGAGTCGGCCGTGTCTCAGGAGCAGCATGTCGCGGCCCTTACGCGCCGGTTCTATTTTCTACGTGCGACGCCTCTGAAACGGGTCAAGTTCGACATTTTTGGGGAAGGAAAGACAGGAAATCGGACGCGGAAATGGAGAGAAGCTCTCGAGATTTTCAGAATAAAGAACGTACTGCCTTCCGGTTGCTTTACTTTTAAAAAAGGTTACTAACTGTGCGGCCCCGTGAGAAGTTATCACATAGCTAGCGGTCTCCTTTGTTTTTCAGGTCCATATTGGCGATTATAAAACGGACAGAACATAAAAAACAAACCATGTTGTAGTTTTCTCCTGCTTGTTGTTGTGTTTACTGACGAAGTGTGACTTCGTGCTCTGTCGTGCTCCTGCTGCTTCGCGTCTCGTGGGAAGGGCCAAGCAGCAGTTTACGCGAGCAAGACGTGCTGCTGCAGTAACGTGCTGCTGACGGCTCCTGTGGAAACCCGGGGTAAGCCTCACATCAAAGCGCTGAGCCTGGCAGAACATGGCGCAGCAAAGTGAACAGAGACCAGCAAAAGGTCAGTGGGCCATAACGCTTCTTGTGTCTATCTGTGATGGAACTATTTTGATTCAGTTGAGCTTTGAGAGTTATCAAAAATTTTAGCTTCATCTAAAACTTCAACTTGTATTTTAGACTCAATCCCAACCAAAGAAAGATGCATTTCCATTGGTTACTGCCCCCATTCTAGGTATAAACAATCTATCCTTAGTAAATGGATATGTACCACCGCGTAATCAAACCTCTGCTTAAGAAACCTTCTCTGGATCCAGATGACCTAATGAATTATAGAACAATATCTAACCTTCCATTTTAATCCAAAGTGGCTCATGGCCTCAGATAAGAATCTTGTGTCTGTTCTAGTCTTGTTAGATCTCAGTGCTGCTTTTGACACAGTTGATCACAATGTTCTTTAAGAAAGGCTTGAACATGTTGTAGGGATCAAAGAAACAGTGCTAGGCTGGTTCAAATCCTATCTGTCTGACAGATCTAATTTTGTTAATGTACATGAAAAATCATCTTCATACTCCAGGGTTACTTGTGGAGCACCACAGGGTTCAGTGCTTGGACCAATTCTTTATATATATATATATATATATATATATATATATATATATATATATATATATATATATATATATATATATGCTTCCAATTGGTAAAATCATTAGACAACATGGGATAAACTTCCACTGTTATGCTGACGATACTCAGTTATATTTATACATTAACCCGATTAACCTAATCGGTTAGTTAGATTACAGGCTTGTCTTGAAGACATAAAAAACTGGACGACTCTAAACTTTCTGCTTTTAAATCAAGACCAAAGTTCTCATCTTTGGACCTGAAATTCAGAAAAGGAAATTGCTTAGTCATTCACCTGACCTGACCGGCATTAATTTTGTCTCTGAGGACAAAGTACGGAACCTTGGTGTTATCTTTGACCAGGACATGTCATTCAAATCCCAGGTTAAACAGGTTTGTAGAATGTCCTTCTTCCACCTGCAGAATATTGCTAAGATTAGAAGAAGCATCCTTTCCAGGAGTGAAGCTGAAAAACTAGTTAATGCATTTATTACATCAAGACTGGATTACTGTAATTCATTATCAGGAAGTCCACAGAATGTAGTTAAAAGTCTTCAGCTAGTCTAAAACACTGCAGCTAGAGTTCTGGTGAGAAATAGAAACAGAGATCATATCTCTCCCATCTTAGCTTCCCTACATTGGCTGCCTGTTAAATTCAAAATAGATTTTAAGATCCTCCTTGTCACATATAAAGCTCTTAATAATCAAGCTCCAAATGGCCCCATAGATCCCATATTCCCATCCCAGCCCCCCCTCCCCAAGTATAAAACAATTGACAATTACGGTTCCCCTCCCGCACCCAACTTCCAAAGTGGACATACAATCACCCGCACACAGTGAGTGTGTGTGTGTGTGCTCTGTCTTCTCGATCCCCAGTGAGTCGTGGAGGATGGCTGCTTATACTGAGCCAGGATCCTCTGGAGGTTTCTTCCTGTTAAAAGGAAGTTTTCCTCTCCACTGTCGCTATATACTTGCTTAGTATGAGGATTGCTGTAAAGACATTGACACTAGTCAGTGACTTGATGCAATCTGCTGGGTTCCTTATACAGGAAACTTTTTACTGATTGGCTTAATGAACTGACCTGTATTGGAATGTTTACTTTGTGAAGTGCCTTGAGACGACTCGTGATTTGGCGCTATATAAATAAACTGCATTTAATTTAATCCAATCAAATTATTATGGACTGGACACATGAGTGTAATGGTGGCACGATACTACAGAAAAGCACTATGCCACCTGTTGTCTTGGCAGGGAATTGCTTTGCTTTCTTAGGTAACGGAGAAGTCCGAGAGCAAAACATCTCAGTCACTGCATGTGCTTCTCTCCCTTGTGGAGCAGCTGGAAAAGTATAAATCAGGCTTAACTTCCCCAGTTGGATCTCTGTACTTACTGAGAGAATCAGAGCGCCTCAGGGGGGGAACAGCTGCAGGGGAGTCAGCCCAGTCGAGTTTGCCTCGAGCCACCAAGTACTGCTGCGCTTTCCTCAGCATGGAGGGAAAGTCCTCGTGAGAGGCTGCAAAAGCCTCGATGCGGTTCTTTACAGAACCTAAAACCTGAAAGTATCAGGGCAGAAGGATTTTCAGTTCAGACTGATCATCTGAATATTAAACCATCCTCAGAGACTGAAGTGTTTATTGGAGTATTTTCTTTTCCAAGTACATAGAACAAAGAGTTTAACGTGTGGACGTTTGTTCACTGCTCTACCCAGCCAACTTAAGTGCCATTTTTACAAACTGTCCTTAAGTCTGATCCAAATAGGAAAGTTGGAAGAACCTCAAACCAAATATCCTTGTTGGCCTGATAACTTAGGAACTGATGCAAGGTGGGTTGAAAGCAAATAACCAAACTAAAAAGGGTCAAGAACAAACACAAACACTTTGATCCTCATTAAGAAGTGTGCTGCAGGTCAGCTGAATGTACCTGGATCAGTGACTTGACGCTGGGCTGGAAGACCATGTTGGTGTTGAGCAGGAAGGAGCGTAGGAGGGGCTGCGGATAGCAGGCCAGCTGGGCTACGATGCCAGTGAGGAGGATGTTGACGTAAAGAGAGTTCTGGAGCATGTTCTCCAGCTTAGCAAACAGAACCACCATGAAAGGTCCTTCAAGGGAAAAGAAAAACAGATTGCTGACTGAAAATGTACAACTCATACTGGGAACCTCCCCGAAGTTTGCAGAGCTCGATTTGTTTGCAAGTTTATCAAAAGGTCCCTTTACACTGGAGGCTGTGGTGACCAAAGGCTTCAGCTACAGCTCTGATCATTTTGGACAAATCTGATTTCTTTAGGCAAATACCACCTTTTTATGCAACTTATCAATGTTTTAGAACAATGGTTATGGTTTTTCCACCATAGAGGTTCATCCAGTAAATGTTTTGACTTCCTGTAGTTTTTGGCGTGTGTTTCTGTAGAGGATCTCAGAGCAGGTTAACAGTTTATCTAAACCAGGGGTCTCCAACACGTTGCACGCAAGCTACCAGTAGCTTCTGATGCACTTGCAAGTCGCTCACCTGGAAGCATAACAACCATTTTGCTTTCAGTGGAAGCAAAATAAAAATCAGATTATTGCACAAATACGCAGAGTCATTGCGGGAGGATTGCCACAAGGATCCCCGTTTCTGTCAACTTTGAATGCAGGCTTCCAAACTTTCTGGACCTGTCCTGTGATTTACTTTCAACAGGTAAGTCGGTCTCTCTAGGATTAATAAACACCAGCTGGTGACACAATAAGTGACATAATTTATAAACTGAGTTTTAAACAATGTTTATAAATTCAGTTGAAAACAGTGACTGATCATGTTATTCCACCGCTGTTTTCATTTTTTATTCATGATGAAGCCGAGTATCTTGCTTTTATTTAGGAAGCATAAAAGTGAAAGAACGGCTCTGACGTTTATTGGGTTCTCTGAGAGTTGGTGCCGACTGCTCGGGTTTCGTACTTCAGTCCATTTGGTGAGACAAGCCGTTGACATAAAGTGCTAAATTAGCACCATTGTGAGCAGCATTTCTAAGTGCCTCCTGCTGACTGTTAAATTTTACTTCTGCCATGTTCTACTTTATGAAAAGGGACTTCATACACAACTGGATTACTAAAGTGTGTTATACATCCCAAAGGAAAAATGGCAAAGATGTCAGCAGAAACTTCAGTGTTAAAGGATGTGCTACAGGATTACAAATGAAATTAAAAATGGCATCCATGGCTTCACTTTGCACAGTAATAATAACAATATGAATAATAGTGACATTAAACCAGAAGCGTGTCCCACTGGAAAGGGATAAATAATGTGACTTACCTGTGTATGGCTGAGAGGCAGGCTGGTTCAGGGGTCTGGCAGGACTACACACTCCCATCACAGACCCGTCCCCTCTAACATCTGTCAGCTTCTGATCCAGGGCCGATGAACGCTGCTCCTCCTCCTCCTCCTGCTGCTCAGAGGACAGAGATGCTGCTGCTTCTTCCTGCTGGCAGGAGGCTCGGTTACGCTCCTTCACACTGTCCTCCAGCTTCCTCAGCTCCAGCGTGAAGGCTTCAATGCTGATGCCCTGACCGTTAGCATCTCCAGGCAGCTGTGGGTCCTCTGGAGTCTGTTCCAGCAGCTCTTCAATTAGACTCTCAACAGACTGTAGCGTTTGGATGGACTCTGGAAGATCTGAGGAGGTGCTGTGAGAGCCTGAGTTTTCGCTGGTCAGCTGTTTGGTATCGTGTGCTGGCTTGATGGAGCTCTGATGGGAAAACTGATTCAGGTGAAGAGATTTAGCTTCACTGAGGTCATTGTTGCTTAAAATGGATTGTGAGAGGGGGGTGCAGCTTTGGGAGGGGCAGGAGACGAGAGACCCATTTTGATTGGCATTTTCATCCAGGTACTGCTGCTCTCCCAAGTCCCTCTTAACTTTCTTTACCTCCATTCCTCGGTCTCGACTGAAGGAGCATGTGTCCCCCTGCCCCAGGGTGCCGTTGTATATTGCATGGTAGCTCACAGTGATAGCAGAGGAGGATATGTGCGGACCTGGGGAAGAGGTGGAGTGTGACGCTGACAAAGCAGTAGTTGAGGAGGTGGAGGGGATGAGAGGAGGAACAGGTTTAGGAAGGAGTTCCTCCCGTTGCAAAGTGCGTTTTTTTGAGCGTGGCGTGAGGCTGATGCAGTTATTTTTGCCGATTGTGACGTCCCACTCCCCGCTGTCCCGATCCGAACCGCTCCATTCAGACCGAGCTGCTGCAACGATGGCTGCCCTCTGCTGGTTCGGAGGAGTGTTGCTGTTTCCTTCACGCTGAAAAGAAAAGTGCTCAGGGAACAAAGTCACGGAGGGGTTGGATGAAGGGGGAGCTGGGGGAGGAGGGGAAGTGTTGGGGGAGGGGTTTTCACCATCATAAGGAGCTGACCAATCTCGGCAAGCCCAGGAACACAGCTCAATATCCCGACGAGCGTCCTTGAGGTACTCCAGGTAACCCGCATCCCAGTCGAAAGCTTCCGTGTGGGTCTGATGCTTCGGGCTGTCGGGAGACAGAGGGTGGGAGCCGGATGGACCTGACTGCAGCAGATCCACGTTGGTGGAGGTAGAGGTGCCCCCTCCCCCTGAGCCCCCACCACCACTCTGCTGGCGCATGAAGAACGACAACCGAGACGGCGTGCTGTGTCTGGGCGGAGCTGGAGCCTCGGTGCTGGGATTATTCAGAACTGTGGAACGACAGTTGGGAAATCTAATCTAAACGTTGTAGATACTACTGATGTTTACAGACTTCTCAATGGTTTTAATGACAATAAAAGTTTCAAAAACTCAACTGATGAATGAACCAAGTAAAACAGAAACAGAGGATTGAAAAATCATATTAGGGAAAATAAATTCAACAAAGCTGAGAGCTGTTACTCTGAATTGTTTAATTTACACATGCGGAAACAAAGAAGAATCAGCTCAGATGTTTGTAGCTCACCTTTACTCCAGAAGGGGTTGTCCTCGTCCCGCTCTGCAGAGGCTGCAGCGTTCAGCCGGCAGCACTCCGGGATCAGCGACAGGAACTTGTTCGCCGACTTTCCGTACATGTCCGTCTCCCTGATAGCGCGACGCTGACTCAGCATTACATGAGTACAGGGCAGCAGAAACCTAGATTTAAAAACAGCCTTTTAGCTCCTAATCCAGATGTTACAAATTTATAACCACACACCCAAAAACAGACATGTGTTGGCAAGCATTTTAAACATGATGATCTTATGGGCTGTTTAGAACAAATGTCTGATGTTGAAGCAGAATGACCAATGTTTGACACGCCGGTGTAGGGTCAGAATAAAGCCTTTAGCACGGTTTAGCAACAGCAACCAAATGAGAGCAGGTAGAAGTGTTCAGGTGTGCAGATGTACCTGAGAATGAGCTGCAGCATGACATCTTCACAGTTCAGAGACAGCAGAGTCCTGAAGAGACTTAATGACACCATGCAGAGCTGAAACAGAAAGAAAAACAGATCAGAAAACAAGAAGGAAAAACTGCTAACGTTTAGACTACTTTCTAAAATGTTTTATTCCCTTAAAGGTGCAGTGTGAGAC